TCGTGGTAATAAAAATGAATCCTTATATATTTATGCAACATTACAATACCATAGTGTATAATAATTACTATTATTTATTTTTCGATCTATTTGTTTGCCAAGCTATCAGTATCGTATTATTTAATAACCTTTATTTTGTTTCCTCGCATTATGCTTATATTTTGCACCAAAGTTTTGCGATTTCAAATGAGTTTTATAAAAAAAGAAAAATCCAAATGTAAATAGTATTACATAACCATTACTAATGGTGAGAAAGTTCATGGTGTTTTAACACCACTAGTTTGCTAATGCACTGTGATCAAGATCCCTCATAAAAATAGAGGTGCTAAAACAGCACGTAGTTTCACGCATGTAGTCATAGTTATGTAGTTATGCAATACAATTTTTAATTAATTACAAAAGTGAATGAATGTTTAATCATTTGACATTTTAGCTATTCCTTTTCCATTGCACGAAGCCCGTGGAACATTTTCAAAACAAAAAAATAACTCTAACGTTTTTCATTATATTTTGTTGTTCGATAGTATGAAGAACTTTTATGCAAATGGCGCAGGTCCAATATTCGTTGAAAACCCTGATTTATCAAAATATAAATTTTGTTACATTCTAAATTATAACCAGCAAAATTTATATTTTTATTATTTCCATCAAGTTTCAGCTTCGCTGAAAATGTGGTTAATTTCAAGGATAAGATTTCTCCGAAGCGAGGATCCCATTGCTTCCAGCGTACCGAGAGAAGTGTAAGAACTCCTGTAAAGAACTTGTCGCTCGATTTGAATGAGGCACGCTACGCGCACAGCGTTGCCAACTCGCACGTTTCCGTCCCGATCCTCTAAAAAACCCGCGAACGTCTATTTTCCGGCAAACTGTGGCTTGTGATTTTACAGAGATTTTTGCGTTTACAATTCTTCAACATTTAAGAATTAATTCCAGGAAGCCCATTGTACTCAAAATACTGTAAATATATAATAAGTTTAAATTATTTATTTTTATTGCAACAATATATTGTAATTTGCTGGAAGTTGGTATTTGACAGTCATCCAAATTTCTGAACAATAAATATTGTAATGTAATGTAACCACATGTATAATCATGTTTAAATATAAAATATCAAATATATGTGTAACACAAAGAAATGTAATTTCCTTTTAACGCAACTGATTGAACAAATCATCATACAATAAACCCATAGCTGGCAAATGTATAAATCTGGCAAAGGAAAACAGTCATATTTTCGCGTGGTTGAACATGTTAATATATTTCAAATACAAGTATTTAAATACTGTCTAACCCTGCTCATTATAAATCGTACATTTGGTCTAAAAACTAAATATTTTCAAGCAAATATTTTCGCAAATGTGACAATTATAACTTCTTTTCATACTGGTAAATCATATCCCAACAATGAGACGTAATTCACAATAATGAGCTTCTGCATCATTGTTGTCGAGTCATTGTACTATTCCAATATGATATTCCCTGAAAGCTAGCAGTATTTCAAATTAGTTTTAAATAATTTCTAAAACACTAATGCAGTGATTTTCATATTTTGTGCTGTCTTTACTCCCTTCAGGTAACAAATTCTTCAGGGAAAAAATCTCTATCTTTCATATTATAGTTGTAGGAAGTCTCCCAAAAATTAGGATTTTTTCAATTTTCGAAAACTCAGGGATTTTAACCAACATGACACCTTCATCCATTTTCTTAAACCTTCTTCATACTATCAAACAATATTTAACAAAAAACGATGGCGCCCTTTTTTTAAAACTCTTGCAAATTTCACAGGAGCTTCATGTAAATATGTCCCCAAATTAAAATATCAATTTCAAAATCAAGGGGCCGTGACATCAACCAGATCGAATGGAGAATGTCAATTATGGAAAAAATCGGTTGAACTTTTTAGTGTTGTTCACAGACACGAAAAGACGTTTTGCCGTCAATCGATTTTTCGATATCAAGGACCAACAAAACATGGATTCTAGTTACTCCACGTGTTAGAGAATTTTTTTCTAAATTTAGCAACTAGATTTATCCACATTTTCATTACCAGGGCCATGTAAGAAGAGTTTTCTGCCGAAAATTCGCAAAAATTAGAAAGTAAAATTGTATCAATTTATCTATTTTACGAGTACCATCTCTCTGCAGAGCTCAAATTTATTTTGATGAAACTTCAAAAAAAGAAATAAAATAGATGACTATTAGTTTCCTTTGCTGTGCTTTTATAGACGCGATCTATTAGTATTTTTCATCCTTTTTCTACCATATTTTCTCCTCGCCCCAAATATAACGTATTACATAAATAAGGTATTATTTTTACGCAAATTACAATTAAATAAATAAAACTATAAATAGTTTCATGAGGTTTCATCAGGTTAATAATACTTAAATAAATTTAATTGATATCTTAGTTCTTATACTAAGTGTGTTAGTGGTGAGTAGTGGAAGCAGTTAGTGTTGTCTTGTTTTCATATTTATTTGAATACATTCTCCGATAGCCATAAATGTTTTAGGCAATTCTGTTGTATCATTAAAATTTTATAAAATTGTATTTTGTACACACCTTTAAATGT